TTAGGCATGATTAGGATTTTTTTTCTTGTTTTCGTTTAACTAATTCACTTTAATAAACTTCTTAGAACCTTGTCACTGTCACTACCCAGCCAAAAATATCGCTAAAAATCCATAGCAAGTATATTTCACTTCCCCTTTTTCCCCTCACTACCCCCTCCCTCACCAGTGGAAGATGAGATGATGCGCTAGTCGAGAAGGCCAACTCAATACCACATCGCTCAGTCCATAAGGCACCATAAGGCATTTTTTCAGAAAATTAAGTTTGTGACTAATTTTTATACAAATGAAAAAAACGTGAAAAAACGAAAACCTTCTTTTCAACGTTGCTCTCCTTGAATTTCAAAGTGATCCGATGGCAGTGAGTTTGTCGCCAGCTCTCCTTGTTAATGGCCTGAATTCCCTGCTTCAGATGCGATTCGACGTCGTCCCTCAACGGTTTTGTTGGCTTAACCGCTTGCCTTAAACAATATACTTTTGGAGGGCTAAATTTTGCTCAATATGGGCTATTGGAAGTCATACCTGAGGCTCTGGCCCCTTTGTAGTGCTGAGGCGTGTCCAGTCAGGCGAAGCTCCTTGTTCATTTGCTAGAAAACGCAAGGTCAAAACGAACATAAATAAACGACTCTAAAGCAGTTACAAAACATAAGAGGGCCGGAGGTTCTCTGAACAATTCGAGATGAGGCAGTACGAAAATTCAAAGGTTAATTCCGCGATGATCAGACTGTCAGAATATGGGCGGGGTTTACCACGGACCCTTCTTCATTGGTGCATACCTTCTCTTCTCCATGTCAGAATGAACGGCTCATAAATGAGGAAGGCACAATGTTTACGAGTCACCGCCCACATGATTATCGCGGAGTCTGTTTTAGGTTCACCTATTTTTTTCTTCATGTCTTTAGGTCCATATATTTTTTTCATAAGCAGGGATGATTATTGGAACTAGAAGGCAGATGCCAACACTATATTTCTACAAAAAATTACATTCTACCAAGGAATAAAAATTACCAGTCTCGCGGCCGGTCGTGTAGATCCTTGGCTATTTTTGGCTTTGACGACCAGGTAAGTGTGCACATTGTGTTCGGCAAGGTATTTTGATCGTTCAGCTCCGTTACCCTCTTCGACGACGTACTCACCGCTCAGTGAGTCCAGTGTGGCTTGAGTGATGTGAACACGCCTGGAAAACGAGCGTTTTTCCAAATAGTGATTGATATTTTCATGCTTTTTCTGAGGTTAAGTGACAAAGACCCGGGTTATTAGCAGCAACGGCAAGGAAATTGCTGACAGTACAGTTCAATTTTGGAAGAAATGCCTGAGCAGTGAGAAACTCCGCCCCTTAGAGAAACCGCGCCCCTTTCACATCACTGCAATAAGCCCAGATTATCATCTATGCGAAGATGAGTACGGAGTATGTGGCTGTCTTCATACTTCGCGACTCTAGCGGCTTGAATACGTCCCCCGCGCATCGACGCTAATCGCTGGATTGCTGCAACGGTCGAAAAAAGTTCTGCCCTGCAAGGAGACCGAACCAGCAGTTACTGCGGTCCAATGATTAACGGTGGAGCTCGATAGATTAGAGTCGCGCGATCCGGGGATCGCGCATTCGCCAAGTATGAACGCGGTCTTATGAAAGAATAGCAAGTGAGGCTGTTCACAACTACATGTAGTGCAGAACTCACCCAGGCAGACCACCACTTTCCATATGATTTGCCAAAGTGACGTCATCGCTCCACACATCGAACTGCCACTTCTTCAGCCCCAACACACCGCAGTGAGCTCGACCAGAATGAATGCCGACTCGCATGTTCACATTGACTCGTGTCATATCTCTGACCAGTCTGAATAAAAAATAAAAAAGAATAAAAAAGGTTGTCCAAGGTCATGTTCCTAGGGTGGGGGAGCCGGTGAAACCAGAGAACCCAAGGCTATACTCCCTTCCATTATTGGACATTAATCATAAGGAAGCAAACATACTTAATAGTTTCGATCATATCGAGTCCCATTTCGACGGTACATGCGGCATGATGATGGTTTACGTCCGGTAAGCCACTAACACAGTAGTAACAGTCACCGAGAATCTGAAAATAGGACATCAGGTTCTATACACGCTTGAAAGAAATGCGCCACTAGTAGAGTACATGTCAGTAGAACGGGTCTCAAAAATGTGCAAGAATGGTGGGCCCGTGTAGGGAAAAATGAGGTACATTTTGCTGAAGGTGCGCTAGGTATGGGGGGATGGGGTAAGGTAAAGAAAAGGTCGGGAAAGAATCATTCATTGAGAAAAATCCATCAGATTGGTCGCATTCGATCACTGGAAGAGGAGGGTCGTTTTCCGCGTGGAGAAAAGATTTTCCGATTGTGGAGCTCGCCAGTTTTATGAGCACTATTATAGCTATATATCACCAAAGTTAATCGGGGCGTGTCATCGAGGCATGGATTCTAACGCGGCAAGAGCCTTCTCCACCAGTTGCTGAAGCGAGTAAGGACAAAAGACTGGTGGAAAACACTGAAACGGACGATATGATACGGTCTTGTCGCTTGCAAGAAGAAAAAAAACAGATTATTGTTGCGCCAAACCCATTCCCCCTTAACAAGTCCCACCCCATCATCCAAAGCT